TCATTGCAATGCTATTGCTTTCTCCTCTTTTCTTCTCTCTTCGTTTTTTCTTTTCTTCTTCCTCTCTCCCCTTCTTTTCTCCCCGGGGGATCTAGTATAAACTGCTCCACCAGCATAAAATAAAAACGAATATCTGCACTCCCGTCCGGACCATCCAATCGTACAGTCCTATTAGTCATACGGGAACACCCAATTTTCACGGATCAGATCCAGGGAATATCTAAGTCCTAAGAATCCTCCAGTTCTCCGTTTCTCAAAATGGAAATTCGAGTACCGCCAACAATCTCGTGTAAGTTGACAGAATGTTGGGGGATGGGGGTGGTTGCGCAGGAGGCTGATTGTTGGAACCAGCAGCTTCTAACTTTTCAGTGCAAAGAGATGTCTTGCTAGGTTGCCAAAGATGCCAGATAAGCCCGGTAGGTAACAGGATCGGGTTCAAGGTCAACTGTTGCCAGATCAGTAACAACCGGCTCAACAAGACAAGGATAATAATAATAACTGAGACAATTAATTGTTAATATGCTTCTCTGTGGGCATTCGATTGCCGGTGAAATATTCGGCTGTAAAGGTCAAGTACTGTGAAGCGGTGAGTCAACAACAAGCTTGAACCATGTGAGGCATCTGTATCATGAACAGAAGTTGCTCAAGTCTACCAAAGGGGTAAAGACTTCTCCCGCGACGTGGCGGGGTGAATTCGGGGCTCGCAAGGTCCCGCGAAAAGGTGGTCAGGGTCCAGGGGGGGGAATTGTCCGCAGACTGCGGCGTTGTGCTTTCATGGAGCGACGGAAGTCTCTGCGCTCCTGACGAAGCAACTTAAGCCACTCTTCCTTGTCCACCAATGACTTGCAAAGGACTCGTCAACGGCTTGTTAGCATCGGTTGAATTTCCTTGGGCAAGTCGTCTGGACCCATGTCAAACTGTGAGTGGATCCCCTCATTGACAGTGCTGTGACGTTCACGTAGTTGAACGTTGTCATCCGAATGTTGAACGGAGTTCCGTTGCTCCCACATGTAGAAGCCGATCGAGAAAAGCTGTTGTGAGAGGCGGGACGCCCAGAGAGAGACAGATCGTCGACATCTGATCTTGTCATAATGTTGTTGTTGGAGCGGAAGCCAAGACGAGGCTATGAGTCCCTCCAAAAGGCCTTGAGACTCAATCACCTGTTGAGCCAAGAAGGCCGGCCGAACCGAAGGAGAGATGGTCCGGGGAGAGGGCGAAGTAGGTGCGCAAACGCCGTGAAGAAGCTGTAGGATCGATTTTTTTATGGAAGGGCCCGTCAATTGCAGGTCCAGCCACGCGGAGAAGGCTGCAGTGCGACGATCCCATTCAGCTGTTGCCAAAGCAGCGCGGCAACGGGGAACGTGAAGATGGTCCTCAAAGTCGCCACAGCGTGGACAAGCTGCCGATGTCTCCAAACCCCATAGGACTTTAAATTTACCTGTGCCACACATACCCACACAGTGTTTAGTAGACCACCTTTGTAGTCCTGCAGGGAGAGATCGCATGGCGCGGCCTAGCGGGTCCAAGGCGACCTCAGACTCGGCTTCGGAGATAGTACCTTTGTCCCTCCAGCGCAAGCGAAGGGCGGGAAGGGTCACGCACTCTTGGATAAACTGAGGATCAAGCCGTGACTGTTTGGTGTCTGCCACGTAAAGCGCCGCAAGTTTAGTGAAGAAACGAGGGTTGGGGGCTATGAGATGATTGGCAGCCTCAAGTTCCTTACGGTACTCCACCATCATTCCATCGACCTCAAGGTTCCGCTTCTCCCACCAAGACAATTTGTCAAAGAGATTGGACTTGTTGAGATGGCCATAAACGTGCTGGGGCAACCAATCCACAGAGGACCGGAGGATAGCTTCCCGAATGGGTGACACCAAGTCAAACTGGGCGTCAGTTGGAGACAGTTGGCGATCTTCGAAAGCCATCTCAGTGGCAGAGAGACCATCGCAAGCAATCCGCACCTTGGGGCATGTTGAAAGGTAACCGCCATGATACCGGCCAACAGACCAATGAGTTCGCTGCGGTATGGGCTCTGATCCTGGGGCAAACCGGGGGTCTGACACCGGATGATGATCCGATCAGACCCTCCATGCTTCACCAAAAGTTGGACCGCTGCGGTCCCTAATCCGTTCTTGAAGGATCCGTCACTAATCACGCGCAGGCGACCTTCCACCAGGGCAGTAACTAAGGTGGCTTCGTTGCCGTGAACCTCAATCTCATCTGGGACCCACCCATAATAGTCCGTGCGAAGCTCTGCAGCCGTTTGCCAAGCTTGAAGGATGGATGGGCTGGTGGTAGGGGCCGGTTCTGAGGCACGGCCAGTACCTGTGAGAAGAACACTGCCAGACCCAGTGATGGGACAGACCGTAGCACAAAGAACATCGGGGGGGAGAGGTGCTGTCCACCATGGGCAGGAAGGATGTGAAGGCGATGGTGCGTAGCGACGGGACGTGGTGGAGGAACCCTGTTACAATAAAGCAAAATGTGCTCTATCGTGAGTGCCTTTAGCGCTCAGAACAAACTCTCTGCAATCTAAATTTGTAATCGACTGTACAACACTTTCACGACAATAGTTCTCCTGTGTCTAGGTATACTTTG